TATCTTTTTAAGAATAAGTACATAATTTCTTAATTAATTTTGAAATTGTTAATAAATATACCAAACAAATATGTACATATTTCTTATTTTGTTATAATTTTTTTTTATAAATATATTTACTAATTAAAAATTAAATAAATAGATATGTCTACTAACTCATAGATTGGACATGAACTAGACGACTCTCTAAGGACTAGGCTTAAATTAAGAATTATTGGCAAAAAAAATTGACTTGAACTAAATTTTCTTGATTTTTTTTAGTGTATAATATAATATTAGAACTCCCAAATTAGCTTATATCAGTCACGAACTTATAAACTATGATATAATTTAAATATAAAATTTAAATTTATTAGGACTGGAATATGACCTACAATTTATGGTGGCTTTATCTTAAATAATTTTTTTTATACATAAATATATATAACTATTCATTTAATTGCTTTAAACATAAATATATAGTTTTTTTTTTTTTTTAAACCATAATTCAAACTTTTTAATAAGTATGCATAAAATAAGTCCATATTTCTAATTTTTATTATAAAAAAATATTTACAAATATTTATTTATAATGACATAAGAATAAAAAAAAAAAATCTCTTATATGTAACTTTGATAAAAATGAATAAAATTTAATTAATTCTAAACTATTTTTGCTAAATATTGTAGATAAATTTTAGATTATTATTTAATTTTAAAAATTAATTTTTGATTATTTATTTATACCGGTGCAATGCATGGGTAATTATGTTAGTTTTAATATTATTTAGCAGCTAATAGTTTTGTGTGTATATTTAATATTATATTTATTGATATATATCACTTGCGTTATCCGGTATCTCTAGCTCAGTAATCCAAATTTAATTCAAAATTTTGAATTTCTGTTCAAGTCCATTACCAAATTCAAAATATATGTGGTCAAATTCTTTAAAAAAAATTAGATTGAGCTTGAGTTGCTTCTGTTAAGTCTACCCAAATTGCGGTCCTGCTTTTAGTAAAAATTAGGATTCAAAACTTTGAAGATTTCTCTCGCAAGAAGTCCATTTTCAAGTTGGAATAATGTTCATAGGAGACAAAATCCATTCCATCATGATCCAAACTTGACAAGGACTTTGATCACTGCTTTACGTGTAGATCTGTTTTGTTGTGTTACGTATTTTGCTCGGTTTACTTTGGTTGAGTTGGATCTCGTACTAAATTAGGCCTCGTCTAAGAAGAAGCAGTTTTAGCCAAAAATTAAAAAAGTCAATTTATTTTATTTATTTATTTACACGTTTTTTTTTTTTATAAAAACTTAAAAAGTTAAAAAATAATAATTTTCTAAAAAAAAAAAACCCTTAACCTCCCACACTATGAAGGCATATTCATCACGGGAAATAGTGTCATTAGCAAGCATCGGCCTATTTTGACAATTGGGTTAAAAGTCAACCTTTTAACTTTTTATGTATTTTCAAAAAATGCCCAAAAAATCTAAAAAATTAGCTTTTAACGTACTTCTTAAAATAGGCCATTATATCAACTTGAGAAGCACTTCTAAATTGAATTTAAATTGTGTTAATTGTAAATTTGAATGCTCCTAATGAAGTAGTTGAAATGAGAGAAGTTGAAAGAAAATGGCAAGTTTCATTTTGTGTAGGGGATTTTAATGAAGTAAGGAAATCAAGTTACCAATCAGGATGCATCAGATAGTGTGTAAAGGGATGAGAGATTTTGTGAAATTTTATTAATGATGTGGAATTGATTGTTCTTCCATTGATTGAATAATTTTTGAGAATTTCGCTATGCTTCATTTATTATAGAGGAATACCAAAACTTGAATTCTTTGATCCTTCATTTTATAGATTCTTTGCCTTCATATGAACATCTCTTATGGATACAAACACAATGTTTTGCCAAATCCCTCTTTGTTGAGGAATTTTTGTGTGCAGATAGAGTGCCTACTGACAAGCCTGCGTGGTACCCTTGGCCAACAATAACTCTATAAATCAGAAATTATCAATCTTCCACATATGCATTAAAAAATCCGTTTAAAAGTTGTAGAAGTTAACTATCGTTTGTCTTCCGTAACCATTTTACTCATCTTCTCCCAAAAAAAAAAAAAAAAAAAAAAAAAAAAAAAAAAAAAATCCACTTATTCTTTTTTTGTTTGAACTGGAAATTCCACTACCATTTAAATTCAGAAATCATCCGTCATTATTTTCGCCCAAGTTCTTTTAAAATGGTAGTTGTTGGTCAACATTAATTTGAACTAGAATTATTGAAGAGTCTAAGAATTGTTTGGATTAAGGCCCGATACTATATTGATTGCAAAAGATTACCCCTTGGCCCTTTGTGAAGAACATGATTTAATGCCAGTTCAATAGAAAAGTTTTTGTAATAAATAGAAGAAAGGAAGAACTCAGATTTGGTTGAGAGATTTGAGAAAGAATTTGAAAATAAAAATTAAAAAAATAAATAAAATATAAATAAAATATATTTACATTTTATTTCATTTCATACACTTTTTCCTTTTCTTTTTTTTAAATCCCTTCCTAAGTTGAATGTTAACCTCACCGTTGCCGTCATCGAGTGTAGGTTGTCAATGATTGTCTGAAATATTGGATGAGTTCATTGTTGTCGTTGCAGCGATCTTCTTCACTCATGAAAGGATGATTTAACTAATAAATACATATTAAAGGAATTAAAAATGCATAATGGTGAGTGATTTGAATTTATAATTGCACTAGAACTCAAATTTTATTTTGTAGACAGACATTGAGGCCTAGTTTGGGAAGACTAAATAAGTGCAGTTTTTTACTTTTTATGAAATATGGGTTGGGTTTGGGTTGGGTTTGAAGTGATGTGTTAGAGAGGTAATGTGACTTAAATAAGATGATGTGACTTAAATAGGATAGTGACTTTTTGACTTTTTGTTTTTTTTCAATCATGTCAAACTTAGCCTAAGTAGAGAGAGAAAAAGTAACTTTTAGTGGAGAGAAAAAGAAAATGTTGTTGGGTTTGTACGAGAAGAGAGAGAGAGAGAGAGAGAGAGGGGAGAGAGAATAGACAGTTAAATCTTCATTATTTTATGACTTGATGTAGACGTGAGCAATCTCAAGCTTTAGGGTTGGTTTGGCTTAAATTAAATAATATAAAAAATTAAAAAGTTACTATTTTATTTAAGTCACATCATCTTATTTAATTCGCATTACTTCTTTAATATATCACATCAAACACAACCTAAACTCAACTCATATAAATCAATAAATCAAAAAATACATTTTTTTAGAACATCCCAAACCAACTCTCAGTTAACATGAATGGCACGTGTTGGGTTGAAATTGGTGAAAGGTACCAAATAAGTATGCTAACTTGATACCCGGATACAAAAATTTCTCCTCTTTTGTGAAAGAATTACAAGAAATCCCTTATTTAAGAAGTACTATATATATTTGATATATATAAACTTCATTTGCTATTTTTCTTCTTTAATTGAAGTTGATTGAGTATTTAGCTTTAGCAAAAAATTAACTAGTCATAACATTTGCCACTCATTAAAAGGTTAACACTCTATTTGAATTGTTAATAGTCCCTAGGCTATCTCTCAAAACAAGCACCCCATATACTAATCCTAAGGTACTAGTAATCCTAATCCCCTTGCTATAACCCAAAACAAACGGGGCCTAATAGTCCCAATGCTATCTCTCAAAACAAACACCCCATATACTAATCCCAAGGTACTAGTAATCCTAATCCTCTTGCTATGATCCAAAACAAACGGGGCCTAAACGTGTTGTAAAACCATTGAAAACTTGTGCCTTTTACAAAAGGAGAATCTTGATCTTGAGGTCTCTAAATGATGTTCCAACCACATCATTTACAAAGTCAAGAAATACGTGGAAAATTAAGCTAACAATAAAATTCCACAAGCACCACCAACTTCATTACAATCATTACAACTGTTTAGGGAATTCGAAAAGCTTATAAACACAAGGCAACACTGTGTTAGTTGTGTTTGGTGTAATTTATTATGAATTAAAAATGAAAATTGAAAAAAAAATTATTTAATTTTTACAAATTAGCGTTTATAAGTTATAAAAAAATGTTTTAGAATTTTAATTCTTGAGTTCTAAAACCATTTTTAATGAGTTATAAGTAGAAATTATTTTAAATAGTTTAACACAGACTCTCAAAATAAAAAAGTAATAAACAATTCAAATAAATTACACCAAATACAATAAAATAGCCCCTTAATTTGTCAAGGAGAAACAATAGCTTACACACGCAACATCAAGGTCTAATATATAATTATTTAAAACTCATATTCATTTAAAAATTAGGTTTATAAGAGAAGAGTTCATCCAAAATATACATAAATAAAACCCATTTTAATTATTATTATTATCATTATTTATATCCAATATGAAATTTTATTTTTTTTATTTATTTATTATCTCCAAGTATATATAGAATGTTGTGATTGCATTGGAAAATTAACATTGTGGGTTCCCTTGTTTTTTAGATGTGTTGGGTTTTATATGTATACGTAGCATTTGCCATGTGAATTCATCTAGAAGGTGAAAAAAATGACAAAAATTAATCTGGTGATAAATATTATTTTTCCAAAACTAGGTTCCTTAGAGAAAATTCATGAATCCCCCACAAAAGTGAAATTTCACTATGCTTCATTTACTAAAGAGAAAGAACTTAATTTATTGATCCACTTGTCTCATGAACTACATAGTCTGCAAAGGAATATGATTCTAGGAAAAAAACAGTTTTATTAAGATTGTTGGCCTTCATAAGGGCATTCTTCTCGATACAAACATAATGTTTTGCTAGTGGAAGGAATTACAAGCAAACCTTATTTAAGATAGTGATAAATATTGACGTTTAGTGCCCTTATTTCCTTTATAAACTTCACTTGGTGTTCTTAATTGAAGTTGATTGGGTATTTAGGCTGTTTGTTTGGTAGAAAGAGTCCCCAATGTGTCTTAAGTTCCAGGTTCTTTTGATCCTCATCAAAAATAGCAAAAATGTAAGTCTCTATAGCCCTTTCCAGCCTTTTTCGGTGTCCCTTCTTTCACATGTTGAATCAAATTGTTATTGTAGGTCCTTGCATTATCAATTGATGTAGCAGTTCCACCAGCTGTAGGCCATCCACTCTCAGACACAACAATCTCCAAAGAGCCACCACCCGCATTCTCAAGCGCCGAGTAAACAGCATCCAACATAGCATCAAACAGATTTCTGTACCCAAGTGAGCCATCCGTCACCACAACCGAGGGAGCTGTGAATAGAGCGTAATCAAGACGAATGTCTTTGGTGTTGCCTGCATAACTGAAATACGGGTACAAGTTAAGGAGCAATGGGGCACCATTGTTCTTCAAGAAACCAATGATTGGGTCAAGAAACGATCGAATTTCAGGCTTAAAAGAGCCTTTTGATGGAGGAAAGGAATTTCCAAGTAATCCAGTGAGGATGGCAGTGGAAACTTTGATTTGGTTCCCAAGGCCAGCTGCAACAATAGCGGTGCGCACGTTTCGCATGGCGGGGAGAAGAAATGGCGCTGTGTTGGGATTTGATGGATCGACTTCATTCCCAACCGCGATGTACCTGAATTTGACATTGCCATAGTTTTTGACATTGTTTTGGACCCATGTATGGATGAGGAAAGTTGAAGTGAATTCAGTTGATTTGCCTGAACTTTGTAATTGGGCCTCGAGCATGGTCATTGCTATAGTCACTAAATTTTGAATAGTAATGTACTTCAAAACTCAGAACAACTTCATTTTTCAATATGAATTGAATGAAACTTTATAATATACGAACTATGAACCTCAAACATTTCATATTGAGAAGGATTTTCATTGATGTTGTAAAATAAAATGAAGTATATTATTGATTGATTTGTTGATGATACAAGATTGATGTGTTTCTGTATTGTATGTGATACATTCAAAGAGGAATGAACTCTCTTTTTATAGAGAGAAGAATGGTTACATTGGATACCAAAGTGCTCCACTATCACCGAAAGCAAAAAGGAAAGCATAAACCTATACAATTAATAATTATACTAAAGCTAAAGATTCAATTAACAATTTAACAATTATATTAACATTATAGATTCTTTGCCTTCATATGAACATCTCTTATGGATACAAACAATGCTTTGCCAAATCCCTCTTTGTTGAGGAATTTCTGTGTGTGGATAGAGTCCCTACTGACAAGCCTGCGTGGTACCCTTGGCCAACAATAACTCTATAAATCAGAAATTATCAATCTTCCACATATGCATTAAAAAATCCGTTTAAAAGTTGCAGAAGTTAACTATCGTTTGTCTTCCGTAACCATTTTCCTCATCTTCTCCACACACACCAAAAAAAAAAAAAAAGAGTCCCTTTTTTCTTTTTTTTTTTTTTTGAACTGGAAATTCCACTTATTGTCACTCTTCCTTCTTCCTCGCTCAGGTCTCTCAGTGAAAAGAAAATTTAAATTCAGAAATCATCCGTCATTATTTTTGCCCAAGTTCTTTTAAAATGGTAGTTGTTGGTCAACATTAATTTGAACTAGAATTATTGAAGAGTTTAAGCCTCCGTTTGGCAAGAAAAAGCCCAGGCTTTTTTGGCTAAAATAGTCACAAAAAACAAAATAGGCTATTTTAGCCACAAAAAACAAAACATCAAATCCAACCCATAATCATTACAATCCTCTCTCACAAAAAAAGTCAAAAAAGCCAAAAAACCAAAAAGCACTTCCCAAACCAGGCTAAAATAGTCAAAAAGCCAAAAAGCCAACCCACTTCCCAAACGGAGGCTAAGAATTGTTTGGATTAAGGCCCGATACTATATTGATTGCAAAAGATTACCCCTTGGCCCTTTGTGAAGAACATGGTTTAATGCCAGTTCAATAGAAAAGTTTTTGTAATAAATAGGAGAAAGAAAGAACTCATGTTTGGTTGAGAGACTTGAAAAAGAATTTGAAAACAAAATTAGAAAAGAAAGGTAAAATATAAATAAAATATATTTATATTTTACTTCATTTCATACACCTTTTATTTATTTATTTTTTTTAAATCCCTTCCTAAGTTGAATGTTAACCTCATCACCGTTGCCGTCATCGAGTGTAGGTTGTCAATGATTGTCTGAAATATTGGATGAGTTCATTGTTGTAGTTGCAGCGATCTTCTTCACTCATGAAGGGATGATTTAACTAATAAATACATATTAAAGGAATTAAAAATGCATAATGGTGAGTGATTTGAATTTATAATCGCACTAGAACTCAAATTTTATTTTGTAGACAGATATTGAAAGGAAGAAAGTAGATAGAGAAAATGTAACTTTTTGGTGAAAAGAAAAAGAAAATGTTGTTGGGTTTGTGCGAGAAGAGAGAGAGAGAGAGAGAGAGAGAGAGGGAGAGAATAGAAACGACAGTTAAATCTTCATTATTTTATGACTTGATGTAGACGTGACCAATCTCAAGCTTCAGTTAACATGAGGGGCAGGTGTTGGGTTGAAATTGGTGAAAGGTACCAAATAAGTATGCTAACTTGGGTGATTATTCAGTACTCTCGGACTATGGACACGTGGTGTTTTATAATATTTTGATTGGTGGAGAGACATAAGGGTCCACGATTTATGTTGGAGATGGGGGGACAACATGAGACTAACTAATTGGTGATTGGTTTGGAGTATGGACACGTAGTGTTCCAGGAATATTGAATAATTTTCCGCTAACTTGATACCCGTATACAAAAATTTCTCCCCTTTTGTGAAAGAATTACAAGAAATCCCTTATTTAAGAAGTACTATATATATTTGATATATATAAACTTCATTTGCTATTTTTTCTTCTTTAATTGAAGTTGATTGAGTATTTAGCTTTAGCAAAAAATTAACAACTAGTCATAACATTTGCCCCTCATTAAAAGGTTAACACTCTATTTGAATTGTAACATGAAAAAGAAAATAAATAGAAATTTAAGCTTTGTAACAAGCAAAAACTTCCTCTCTCAAACTACAACTTTTGATATATCAAAACAATAACAATAAATAACAGTATTTAATAAACAACATAAAGAGAGAGACTAATATCCCAAGAAATGGCACTGTAGCAATCATGGAAGGTATTTCACTAGAAAAATATAATTTGTTTATATCTCTAAACGTGTTGTAAAAGCATTGAAAACTTGTGCCTTTTACAGAAGGAGAATCTTGATCTTGAGGTCTCTAAATGATGAAAGTTTCCAACCACATCATTTACAAAGTCAAGAAGTACATGGAAAATTAAGCTAACAATAAAATTCCACAAGCACCACCAACTTCATTACAATCATTACAACTGTTTAGGTAATTCGAAAAGCTTATAAACACAAGGCAACACTGCGTTAGTTGTATTTGGTGTAATTTATTGTAAATTGAAATTAAAAATTGAAAAAAAAAATTATTCAATTTTTACAAATTAGCATATTAAATTCTTTCTACTTTATAAGTTATAAAAAAATGTTTTAGAATTTTAATTCTTGAGTTCTAATGAGTTGGCAGTGGATCCCACCCACTACTGATGTGATGTATGTTTCTTTTTATTTATTTATTTATTTATTTATTTTTACTCCATGAAAGCTCATTAGAACGGCTATCGAAGCAGCTCCTTTAGAGCTCTCCATCACAACTGATAAATTATAAGTAGAAATTATTTCAAACAGTTTAATACATACTCTCAAAATAAAAAAAGTTATAAACAATTCAAATAAATTACACCAAATACAATAAAATAGCCCCTTAATTTGTCAAGGAGAAACAATAGCTTACACACGCAACATAAAGGTCTAATATATAATTATTTAAAACCCATATTCATTTAAAAATTAGGTTTGTAAGAGAAGAGTTCATCCAAAATATACATTAATAAAACCCATTTTAATTATTATTATTATTATTATGAAACTTTATTTTTTTTATTTATTTATTATCTCCAAGTATATATAGAATGTTGTGATTGCATTGGAAAATTAACATTGTGGGTTCCCTTGTTTTTTAGATGTGTTGGGTTTTATATGTATACGTAGCATTTGTCATGCGAATTCATCTAGAAGGTGAAAAAAATGACAAAAATTAATCTGGTGATAAATATTATTTTTCCAAAACTAGGTTCCTTAGAGAAAATTCATGAATCCCCCACAAAAGTGAAATTTCACTATGCTTCATTTACTAAAGAGAGAACTTAATTTATTGATCCACTTGTCTCATGAACTACATAGTCTGCAAAGGAATATGATTCTACGAAAAAAACAGTTTTATTAAGATTGTTGGCCTTCATAAGGGCATTCTTCTCGATACAAACATAATGTTTTGCTAGTGGAATGAATTACAAGCAAACCTTATTTAAGATAGTGATAAATATTGACGTTCAGTGCCCTTATTTCCTTTATAAACTTCACTTGGTGTTCTTAATTGAAGTTGATTGGGTATTTAGGCTGTTTGTTTGGTAGAAAGAGTCCCCAGTGTTTCTCAAGTTCCGGATTCTTTTGATCCTCATTAAACATAGCAAAAATGTATGTTTCAATGGGCCTTCCCGGCTTTTTTGGGGTCCCTCCTTTCACATGCTGAATCAAATTGTTATTGTAGGTCCTTGCATTATCAATTGATGTAGCAGTTCCACCAGCTGTAGGCCATCCACTCTCAGACACAACAATCTCCAAAGAGCCACCACCCGCATTCTCAAGCGCCGAGTAAACAGCATCCAACATAGCATCAAACAGATTTCTGTACCCAAGTGAGCCATCCGTCACCACAACCGAGGGAGCTGTGAATAGAGCGTAATCAAGACGAATGTCTTTGGTGTTGCCTGCATAACTGAAATACGGGTACAAGTTAAGGAGCAATGGGGCACCATTGTTCTTCAAGAAACCAATGATTGGGTCAAGAAACGATCGAATTTCAGGCTTAAAAGAGCCTTTTGATGGAGGAAAGGAATTTCCAAGTAATCCAGTGAGGATGGCAGTGGAAACTTTGATTTGGTTCCCAAGGCCAGCTGCAACAATAGCGGTGCGCACGTTTCGCATGGCGGGGAGAAGAAATGGCGCTGTGTTGGGATTTGATGGATCGACTTCATTCCCAACCGCGATGTACCTGAATTTGACATTGCCATAGTTTTTGACATTGTTTTGGACCCATGTATTTGCTTCGGCTTGGTTAGAAGCTAGTCTCCGGAGATCAGTGTTTGGAACACCGAGCATGAGCTCGATGTTGGAGCCTCTAAGGGCTTGGAGAGCAGCTTGGTTTGGGTCATAGAGTCGCATTCTTCGGATGCCTTTTTGGTTGTAAAGAGCTACAACATCTTGTTGAGATGGTAATCCGCCGCCGTTCATTCCATAGCAAACCCCTGTTTGGGCACCTGTAACATTAAAAAGTAAAAAAGAGTCACTATTTATTTATATCACATCACCTCTCTAACACGTCACATCAAATTCAACTCATATAAGTCAATAAGTCAAAAAGTGTACTTTTTTAAGGCCAAGTTTGGCATGATTGAAAAAAGATAAAAAAAGTCAAAAAGTCACTATCCTATTTAAATCACATCATCTTATTTAAGTCACATCACCTCTCTAACACATCACTTCAAACCCAACTCAAACCCAACTCATATTTCATAAAAAGTCAAAAAGTACACTTATTTAATCTTGTCAAACTAACCAACCCTTAATTAACAAAATAGTAAGAGTCATACATTAGGTTTGTTTTGTACTATAATTGTGTTCTGAATCTTTGAATATATGGAAGTTGGGATTTTGAAAAATCATATGGTTACCAATGTAAAGAAACTAACCAAATAATTTGCATTCCTGTTAAGAAATAAACCAATTTTCTTGAGAATTTTCATATTACAAATAGACAATTGAAATGATCATGACATATTGATTTTGCAGGTGTGGGTATTGGGTGGCACATAACTAGTTTCACACGACCCATATTGAAGTAGTCTTATATAATCTTGTATTGGCAAAATAATCAAACAGTCCTTAAAAAGGTTGATGTGATGTAAGTCCCTCTCCCTCAAACTAAATCCTCCCCCATACAAAAAATAATAATAATAATTACCCTAGTTTTGATTGATTTTCTAAAAATTAAGTAGTTTATTTTTTGTTTTTAGTGATTTTTTAATATTTTAGATAAATTTTTTTACTTTCTAAATGCATATAATTTAGAAGCACTTAAAAAGTAAAATATTTATGAAAAAATATGCTAAAAAATCAATAAATGCATAAGAATACGAAAATATATTATTTTTTATTTTATTTTTTTGGGTATTTGATGACCTTTTTAAATATTTTTTTCATAAATATTATATTTTTTAAGTATATTTAGGTTAGATGCATCTAAAAATAAAAAAATCTTTAAATATTAAATTTTTTGATTAAAAAAAAAAAAAGTAGGCTCAATGTTTTGAAGTCAAATAAGGTAAATAAAATTCAAAAAGAAAAAAAAAATCAACCATATCTAATCATTATTATTGTTATTGACTCTTCTCCGTATGTCACTCAAATTTTTTATTTTTTATTTAAAAACCTTACAAAATGGCTTCGTTTGGAAAGTCAAGTTTGAGATTTTTTTTATTATTTTAATCACAAAAAATAATATAGGCTTTTTAACTTAATAAGACAAAATATCACATCCAACTCATAATTATTACATTCTTTCTCTCATAAAAAAGTCCAAAGCATCAAAAGCCTTTTTCAAACGAAACTTTTTAACCCCAGGCTAACATAGTTAAAAAAGTTAAAAAATCAAAAAACTAACTCACTTTCCAAACGAACCCAAAACAAATATTTAGTGTAATCATGACACCATTTAGCTATTTTTCATTAACTTAAGCCATGTTTGGTTTTAATTTTTTAGCTCAAAAATCATAAAAAGACAAAATTAGTTACATAAGTTAATAAGATAAAATATTCCATATAAACCATAATTATTACACTTTTTTTCACCAAAATCAAAAAAATTAAAAATAAAAACCAAACGAAACTAAAAAAATTAGACTAAAATAACTAAAAAATCAAAAAATTAGACTATTTTAACTTTTTCCAAACGAGGACTTCCACTAGCGTAATATAAAAAAATTTATCCTATATTGCGATACATGAGAACAATCTATTAAAGAAAGAGAAAGATAAAGAGAGGCGTATGGAGAGTGAAACCTGTTAGGTCTAGGGTAGCCATTAATACCCCAAGGAGAAGCATTGTAGCAATCATGAAAGACATTTTACTAGAAAAATGTAACTTATAAGTGAAGAAGATAAAGAAACGAAGCTAAGGCAATATGCAAATGTGTTGCAAAACGCTACGCACTTGGTTCATTTTATAGAGAGGAAGAGCCTTTGATCTTGGGGTCTCATGTGATCAAAGTCCCCACCACACTATTTCCAAGTCAATCAATTCCATGGAAATATCTAGCAAGAAAATTCCACAAAAAATACACCAAATGCAACATCATCTAATGTCCTCTTCTGGAGTTGTACCAAGTTTTTGAAAAGTGTTTTTCTTTTTCTTTTTTCAAATTTGCTTCGCCAAAGAGTAAAAAAATTCATTTTACAAAATAAATAAGTCATTTAGCAAACTCATTTTTTCTAAAAAAATTACCTTCAATAACAAAAAAGCTATTCAAAAAGTCAGTAAATATATACCAAACAAACAAATTAATTTTTTTTAATATTAATTTTTTTGTAAACTTATTTTAAGGGTAAATTACAAATACATCATTTCAGATTTACTTAAAATACGAATTGCCCCATTTGGTTTGAAAAATTATAAATACCATTTTGTCAGAATTTTTTATTTAACAGAATTAATTAAAAACGTGAAATTTTTAACTATTCACCTATATAATAATAAAATTATCTGAATTATTAATTGAAATAAAATTTTAATATTATTAAAAATTATTAATTAACTTAATGATCTATTAAAAAATACTTATTTGTAATAAAATTAAAAACCTTAACAAAAATGATTGAGAATTCTAATAGGAGTAGACTCCACTATGATGTGATATTTTGAACTTAGTTTTTATTTTTCACTTTTTTTTATTTTCTACCATATTATTAGAACTCAATTAAGATTTTAAAATTAAAAAGATGTATTATTTTTTAAACACATAATATAATTTTTAAAATCATAAAAATAATTTATAATTTAAATAAATGACAGAGTTGATAATTTATCCTATTTTTAGTAAAGTCCCGATGGAAGCAATGACTTCATAAACCAAGTCTAGTAGCCGCCTCTACCAATGGATTTGGGGTGGGTGCACCCTGATGTGACAGCAAAAGCCCACCGTTTTGGTGGGTGATTTATATATATAATAAATAAAGGGTAAATTACACGGACACCCTTGAAGTTTATATTTATTATAATTCTCCTCCTCATCTTTTAAAAATTACATCTTTTATTGAGGTTTAAAGTTTAATTACAGATTCACTCTTACCAATTTAATTTTTTTAAATATCAATTTTGTCCTCATTGGGTAAATTACATTGACACTCCTCACATTTTAGAAATTATAATCTCATCCCTAAGGTTTAAAGTAGCATTACCAATTGCCCTTTTGGTTAGTATTAGTTGGAAAAAAAATTCATTGAAAAAAAAATTGTTAGTAAAATTTTTAAATTTTTGTTTAAAAATCAACGTAAACTCATTTTTTGAATTTACAAAATTAATTGGCAAAAAAAAAAATTGAAAATTTTTTTTATTAGTAAAATTTTTAAATTTCTATTTAAAAAGCAACATAAACTCATTTTTTGAATTTTTATTTTTTCTTAAATTTACAAATTGAGACAACAATTTAAAAACGAAAAAAATTATCAAACAAGTTTTTATGACATTTTAAAATTTTTTGTAAATATAAATTGAAAACTGAAAATGAAATAGTTACCAAATAGATCTCAGATGGTAAAAATGTCGTAAAATTAACAAATAATTAAATAAGTTACCAACGTAAGAAATGACTTATTAAAAGATTCTTAGGTTATGAATGGTTTGATTTTTAGAAAAAAATTTTAAAAATTAAAAATTAATTTGGTTAAGAAATAAAAAAAAAAAAAAAAAAATTATCATCTAAGGGTAAAAAATAATTATCATTTTAACTTTTGGGCAGGTTATATACATATGTATGGCTGTTTCAATTTAATTTGTACAAAATTATTTCTAACCACTCGAAAGATAAAAATTATATAAAAATGATATTTATTTTTTATTTTTTATTTCTTAACCAAATTAATTTTTAATCTTTAAAAAAAATTTCTAAAAATCAAACCATATATAGCCTAAGAATCTTTTGATAAGTCATTTCTTACGTTGGCTACTTATTTAATTATTTGTTAATTTTACGACATTTTTACCATCTGAAACCTGTTTGGTAATTATATTTGCAAAAATTTAAAAATTGTCATAAAAACTTGTTTGATAATTTTTTTTGGTTTATAAATGGTTGTCTCAGTTTGTAAATTTGAGAAAAAATAAAAATTCAAAAAATGAGTTTATGTTGGTTTTTAAACAGAAATTTAAAAATTTTACTAACAAAATTTTTTTTCAATTTATTTTTTTTTCCCAATTAATTTTTTTTTCAATGAATTTTTTTTCAACTAATACTAACTGAGAGAGCAATTAGTAATGCTATTTTAAACCTTAGAGAGGAGATTATAATTTCTAAAATGTGAAGGGTGTCAATGTAATTTACCTAGTGAGGGAAAAATTGATATTTAAAAAAATTAAATTGTTGAGGGAGAATCTGTAATAAAATTTTAAATCTCAGAAAGAGATGTAATTTTCAAAAAATAAGGAAGCACTGTAATAAACAAAACCTCAGCGGCTGTCAGTGTAATTTACCCATAAATAAATAAACTGATGAAGCAAGCACGTGTTGCAGCCTAGTGTTAAAGTGTTTTGTTGTTTAATCCAAACTACAACGTTTCAATTTTTTTTTTTTTTTCTGTTCCACGCTGCTTGCTATTGTGAATAAGTTTGATTAGTTTTAAATGAAAAATAAAAAAAGGAAATAACAGCACAGTGTAATAGTAAAAAAATATTATAAATCAATAATAAGGTTTACAAATTGTAATAATTAAAATATTATATTTTTTTATAATTTTGTATTTTTTTTCTGGAACCACTGTTTTGTTATTTCCAACAAAAAAAAAATGAATGGATTTCACATCTATTAAAGAAATTGAATGAGTTTGATTAGTTAAAATTAAAAAAAAATAGAAATTATATAGAAATTATGTTTTGTAATATTTTTGTTTACCTCAAACCCACTTCTCTATAAAATAAAATTTTAAAAATTAAAAGCAAATCAATGCTAAACATAAGAACTTAAAATAAATGGAACTTCAATTATACAATTTATAACAATCATATAATGAAAAATAAATTCAACATGTAACTACAAAATATATCATATATATATATATATATATTAAAAGTAGTATTTTCGTATGCTTAAGTGACATATTATAAGGATTTACTTTTTTTCTAAAAAAGTTATGATAGCATATATTTTCTTAAAGGCGAATTATACTAACAATTAATTTGAGACTTGTGTTACTTTCGTCTCTGACTTTTCAATTGTAACACATTTGATCTTGAATTTTGAATCTTATTCTAAATAAAGACAATTGAAAATATTATTGCTTAATTTCAAGGGTAAAATCATTAATTTGATAAAATATAAACTAATTTGATAAAAATAAATATCAAAAAAATATGTTTTAATTTTTAAAAAGTATTTCAACCCACAAAAGATAAAATCATGTAAAATTGATAAATATTTTAGACATTTATTTATTTATTTATTTTACCAAATTAATTTTTATTATGTATTTGGATGATGATTATGTAATGGGTGATTGTTAGAATTTTAATATGTTATCGATATATTTAATATATGGAATGTTTTTAGTTTTAGATTTTTTGATTTAATGAATTGGTTTAATAATAATATCAAATTTGTCGCCATATTTAACTTTTGGAAAAATAGAAACAAATTAAATAAAAATAAAAATAATCACTCATTACATGATCATCATCCAAACACATAATAAAAATTAATTTAGTAAAATAAATAAATAAATGTCTAAAAGATATATCAATTTACATAATTTTATCTTTAGTGTGAAGAAATAATTTTTAAAAATTCAAAAATATTTTTTTGACATTTATTTTTGTCAAATTAATTTATATTTTATCAAATTGACCATTTTGCCCTTGAAATTAAGCAATGGTATCTTCAATTGTCCTTATTTGGAATAAGATTCAAAATTCAAGGTCAAATGTGTCACAATTGAAAAGTCATGGACCAAAGTGACACAGACCTCAAACTATAAGAACCGTTAGTGTAATTCACCATTTTCTTAATTACATATAGAGTTCTACACAAACCCAGACATAATTTAAATTATACTAACTTTATCTATTCTATATATGAAAAATGCTTGGGAGAACTAATTAGTGCTCCCACTAATTAGGTGGCAGTGGGTCCCGCCATTAATGATGTGATGTTTTGGCCTTGGAGTTGTATTTTATTTTATTTTTTTTTTACTTTTTTAATGCATTAATGCTATTAGTGGTGATGTTTTTAGTGGGATAAATCATTGTTGTTTATATATATATTCTGTTTGACAAATATTTTTTCCATATATTTTTCATTATAAATTGAGATAATTCACAAACCCAATACCAATTTTGCATTTCACGTTTTTTTTCTTAATTCTTTCGAGAATATTAGGATTTTTTTTTTTTAATGTTAAACTGTCTCTTTTTTATTTTTCTTATTTTTATGTACATTATTCTATACCCAATACTAATTTTATATTATTCTATATTATGGATTTGTCATTTAAATTTTATAGTAATTCTATATATGAAATTATATTTTATTTCCCACATTATTTTATATAATCATAAGTTATAGGAGAAAAAACATGCACAATAATGATAATCCTAAGGAATCTCTAAACTTTAGATTTATTGCTTGCGTTACTTTTTCAATTGTTAAACAGTAAGCTGTTTTATATTTTGATATCATATTATAAATAATTAATTACTTTACACACTCAGATGTATCTATTGTTTGGATGTTTTTATTATTTTTTATTTTTGAGTTAAAATGTTGTTATGTGATTTTTTTTTCTTGATTAGTCGTTGTTGAATTTTTTTTTATATAGTTGATATTTTAATTTAATTAAGAGTATTTATTTCATAATCTAATTATAACATATTTATATTTAATTTTTTTAATAAATTTCTACTTCTACATATTTTTATTTTCCAAATGAGTATAAAAGAAAATTAAATAG